TTTGCTCTCTTCTTTCTCCTATTCTTCTGGGACTCCTATTATGTACATTTTGTTCTGCTTGATGGTTTTCCACAGATCTTTTGGGCTCTTTCAATTTTTCTTCATTCTATTTTTCTTTCTGCTCTGCAGATTGTATAATTTTAACTGCCTTATCTTCAAGTTTGTTAAGACTTTATTCGGCCTACTCAGATCTACTACTAAAACATTTTAGTATGTATTTTATTTTATTTACAGTACATTTTTCCTTCAAAAGTTCCTTTTTGTAATTTTATTTCTTTTTTTTTTTTTTTTTTTTTCTTTTTTTTTTGGTGACAAGGTCTCACTCTGTCTTCCAGGCTGGAGTGCAGTAGCATGATCTCGGTTCACCGCAGCCTACACCTCCTGGGCTTAGGTGATCCTCCCCGCTCAGCCTCCCAGGTGGCTGGGACTACAAGTGCGTGCCACAACACCCGGCTAATTTTTGTATTTTGAGTAGAGGCAGGATTTATCCATGTTGCCCAGGCAGGTCTCGAACTCCTGGACCTCAAGCAATCTGCCTGCATCGGCCTCCCAAAGTGCTGGCATTATAGGCATGCGCCCACCATGCCCAGCCTTCTTTTTTTATTTTAACCATCCCATTACACAGAAGAAAGAGAAGGCGTTGCATTCTGTTGCCCAGGCTGGAGTGCAACAGTGCGATCATGGCTCACTGCAACCTCGACCTCCTGGGCTCAAGTGATCCTCCCACCTTGGCCTCTCCCAAAAAGCATTTTCGCTCTTGTGGTGAGCGGTGCCCTTCCACTCGTGCTCGTGGTGTCCTCTGTCCCTGCAGTGAGGGCTCAGCGGCCGTGCCCATTCATCTACACCTGAGACTGTGCATCGGGGAGGCCCCAGGCAGAGTCGCATCACCGTCCTGATGCTGGGAGTGGGGCCGGCCCTCGTCATTAGGTGGCTCATGGTCCGGGGATAAAGCTGCTTCCCAGAGCACCAGAGGCCGCTGGTGAGTCTGTTTCTTCAGTGCCCACGCACCACGTGGAAGGAGCCCAGACACACACTCTGTGTCAGCCCAAGTTGCCAGAGATGACTGGAAATGTTGATGCCTTTGATGGTGTCTCTTTTCAGCCGTGCTAAAATATGTGTCCAAAACTGGTGGCTTTTTTTTCCATTCTATATAACACCAGGCTTGAATGCACCACTCATGCTGGGTTTAACCGACCCCTTGTGACAAGGGGTGGCCTCTGTGGGGGCAGCCAGCTCACCCTCTGCTTCTCACTGTCAGTCGGAAGTTCGTCAGCGCAGGAGCATCTGAAGTCTGTTGTGTGTCATATCACAGTTGCTTTTGTGAGCCGTCTACCCCATCTTTTAGGGAAATAGGCCTACGCCCATGCAAGTGGGCAGGTGTCATCTTGCCTAGGTTAGTACCGTGGCTACCTGAGTTAACAGCTCTAGATATTGTCCCGAACATTTTCTTGGGAAATTTATTCAATTTTGGGTAATTCTCCCAGAGGCGTCCTGCTGTTAAGGTTGTTTAATGGGTTCTATAGGACCTTATTTTACTGTGCAATTTGAAAATGTGTTGAATGTCTCTGCACATGGGGTGCTGTGCTAGGCATGGCGAGGACACGCAGGTGAGTTGGTCAGAGGTGGTGCTACCTCATGACTGTGGTCTCTGTGGGCATGGGAGGCATGTCATGCCTCACCTTCCCCATACCAAGAACCTGGCACATGGCCTGGTGTGCTGCAGGAGCTCAGCTGGAATCTGGGCTGGTGGGATGCATGCAGGCATGGAGGCAGTTGGGTGGACGGATGCTTTACTTCTTCCTGTGCAGAACCATCTCCACCATCTCCATCATCTAGGCCAGGAAGTTTCAGCTCTGATGTGGATTTCCTCTGAGAGCTGGGTGTGTGTGTGTGTGTATGTGTGTGTGTGTGTGTGTGTTGGCTGGGAGTGCTGTGTGAGAGACAACTTGAGTGAGTGAGAACCACATCTACATAGTTTCCCTTCCATGTTTAGACTTCGTGAAGATGCGTCAACTGTGAAATCTGCCTGGGATGCTCAGATTGCTCAACTGTCTAAGGAGATGGTCTCCAAAGACCTTCAGATTCAGACGCTGCGGGAAGAAGAGGTGAAGCTCAGGGCACAGGTGGCCCGATCCCAGCAGGACATTGAAAGGTAACTGTCCCCAGGCAGTTATTTCCATTTAGTGTCTCCTATGGGCAAGTGCTGTTGTAGGTAGTAAGGATTCAAAACTGAACAGATCAAGTCCCTGGCCTCACATTTTCTTGGGGGAGAAAGACAGTGAACAAGACAGATAGAATGTCTAGTCACGCGGGGTGGTGTGGGAAGACACGCAGAAGGGGCCGCCAGCTGGAGGGAGCGTGGCCAGAGGACGGTGTTTCTCAGTCTGTGATAAGAGCCATAAAGGTGCTTCTGCTGTTTGATCCTGCACTGAGAATCTCCTGTTGCCAGGCGTGGTGGTTCACACCTGTAATCCTGGCACTTAGGGAGGCAGAAGCAGGAGGATTGCTTGAACCCAGGAGTTGGAGACCAACCTGGTTAACATAGCGAGACCCCATCTCTGCAAAAAGGGAAACAAAAACAAGGAATCTCCTCATCTGTCTTGTCTGATTGTTCATGTCCTCATGTTTTTCCTCCATTGGGGTGAACACTTACTCGAACAAAGATAACTTCTATTTCCCATACACGTTCAACTTTATTACAGAATACGTTTGCTAAAACTCATCCATTTTAACTCGACACTTGATGAATTTGGATGAATGTGTATGCTGTATGATATCATTTGGCTCTATGTCTCCCCCAAATCTCATCTCAAATTGTAATCCCTATGTGTCAAGGCAGGGCCCTGATGGGAGGTGATTGGATCATGGGGGTGGTTTCCTGCATGCTGTTCTTATGATACTGAGTGCGTTCTGATGGTTTAAAAGTGTTTGGTGAGCCGGGTGTGATGGCTCACGCCTATAGTCCTAGCGCTTTGGGAGGCTAAAGTGGGCGGATTACGGGGTCAGGAGTTCGAGACCAGCCTGGTCAACATGGTAAAACCCCGTCTCTACTAAAAATACAAAAATTAGCCAGTCATGGTGGCTCACACCTGTAGTCCCAGATACTCCAGAGGCTGAGGTGGGAGAATCACTTGAACCCAGGAGGCGGAGGTTGTGGTGAGCCCAGATCATGCCACTGCATTCCAGCCTGGGCAGCAGAGTGAGATTCTGTCTCAAAAAAATGAATAAACAAATAAAAAATAAAATATAAATAAATACATGTTTGGTGGGCCGGGCGTGGTGAGCACTTTGGGAGGCTGAGGCAGGCGGATCACCTGAGGTCAGGAGTTTGAGACCAGCCTGGCCAACATGGTGAAACCCTGTCTCTACTAAAAATACAAAAATTATCCACGTGTGGTGTCACGTGCCTGTAATCCCAGCTACTCGGGAGGCTGAGGCAGGAGAATCGCTTGAACCTGGGAAGTGGAGATTGCAATGAGCCAAAATCATGCCACTGCACTCCAGCCTGGGCGACAGAGCGAGACTCTGTCTCAAAAATAAATAAATAAATAAATAAATAAGCGTTTAGCAGCTCCCCCCACCACACTCTGTCTTTCTCCTGCCAACATGTCAGACGTGCCTTGTTTCGCCTTTGCCTTCCACCATGGTTGTAAGCGTCCTGAGGCCTCCCCAGCCATGTGGAACTGTGCGTCAATTAAACCTCTTTTGTTTATAAATTACCCAGTCTCAGGTAGTTCTTTTTTTTTTTTTTTTTTTGAGGCAGAGTCTCGCTCTGTCGCCCAGGCTGGAGTGCAGTGGCGCGATCTCGGCTCACTGCAAGCTCCGCCTCCCGGGTTCACGCCATTCTCCTGCCTCAGCCTCCCAAGTAGCTGGGACTACAGGCGCCGCCACCACGCCCGGCTAATTTTTTTGTATTTTTAGTAGAGACGGGGTTTCATTGTGTTAGCCAGGATGGGAGTCTCAGGTAGTTCTTTATAGCAGGGTGAAAAAGGATGACTACGCCGTATAATCACCACTTCAGGCAAGCTATGGAATCTTCTGTCGACACACACTTCCCTCCTGCCCTCCACAGTCAGGCCGCTGTCCCAGTGTGCTTTTTTTTTGAGACAGAGTCCCGCTCTGTTGCCTAGGCTGGAGTGCAGTGGCACAGTCTCAGCTCCCTGCAACCTCTGCCTTCCAGGTTCAAGCAGTTCTCCTGTCTCAGCCTCCCGAGTTGCTGGGACTACAGGCACATACCACCAGGCCCAGCTAATATTTTTTTGTATTTTTAGTAGAGACGGGGTTTCACCATATTGGTCGGGCTGGTCTGAAACTCCTGACCTCAGGTGATCCACTCACCTCAGCCTCCCAAAGTGCTAGGATCACAGGTGTGAGCGTCTGGCCTTTTTTTTTTTTTTTGAGATAGAGTCTTGCTCTGTCGCCCAGGCTGGAGTGCAGTGGTGCGATCTCAGCTTACTGGAACCTCCACCTCCTGGGTTCAAGCAATTCTCCTGCCTCAGCCTCCCAGAGTGCTGGGATTACAGGTATGAGCCACTACACCTGACCCTCCTGGTAATATTCTTTTGCCCACAGTCTTCTCTGTCTGATATTAACAGGGCTGCTTGAGCTTTTTCCACTTGTTTCCCACCCTCTGCTTTAACTTGTGCTTCATCTTTTTTTTTTTCTTGAGGTGGGATCTCACTCTGTTACCCAGGCTGGAGTGCGGTGGCACAATCAGGGCTCACGCTCACTGCAGGCTCAACCTCCCAGGCTCAACTCATACTTGCACTTCAGCCTCCCAAGTAGCTGGGACTATAGGCACATACCATCACACCCAACTAATTTTTCTATTTTTGTAGAGACAGGGTTTTACCATGTTACGCAGGCTGGTCTCAAGCTCCTGGACTCAAGCCATCCTCCCGCCTTGGCCTCTCAGAGTGTTGGGATGACAGGCGCGAGCCGCCGTGCCCAGCTTGTGGGCGGCCTGTGTTTGAGTCTTCTTTTTCTAGTGTAACACTCTGCCTGTTCCTCAGGGGGTTTAGATAATTTAATTTAATGCCATTATTGATATATTTGTATATTAGGGCTTAAATCTCCACTTACTGTTTGCTATTCTCTTTATTTTATTTATTTATTTTTTTGAGACAAGGTCTTGCTCTGTCACCCAGGCTGGAGTGCAGTGGTGCAATCTTAGCTCACTTGCAGCCTTAACCTCCCAGGTGGGTTCAAGCAATCCTCCCACCTCAGCTTCCTGAGTAGCTGGGACTGCAGGCGTGTGCTGTGATGCCTGCTTAATTTTTTGGTATTTTTGGTAGAAACGGGGTTTCGCTTTGTTGCCCAGACTGGTCTCGAACTCTTGGATTCAACTGATGGGCCCACCCCAGCCTCCCAAAAGTGCTGGGATTGCAGGCATGAGCCACCGTGCCCGGTCTATTTGTGTTCTATTATCCTCATCTGTTCTTTGTTTCTTTTTCTCTGCCTTTAAAAAAATCCATTGAATATATTTTAGAATTTCATTTTATTTCCAGTTTTCTTATTATATAAACCTCTTTGTCTTACGTGTTTAATGGTTGTTCTGAGATTTATAAGATATACAGTCTCTGTTTAATATTTACCACTCTATGTATAATATAAAACTCTTCAATTACTGCTTGTGTTCAAGGAATGACCTCTGCTTCTGCTACTTCTTCCTTTTTTTTTGAGAGACGGAGTCTTGCTCTGTTGCCCAAGCTGGAGTGCAGTGGCACGATCTCGACTCACTGCAACCTCCGCCTCCTGGGTTCAGGTGATTCTCCTGCCTCAGCCTCCCAAGTAGCTGGGATTACAGGCGCCCACCATCGCACCCAGTTAATTTTTGTATTTTTAGCAGAGACGGGGTTTCACTATCTTGGCTAGGCTGGTCGTGAACTCCTGACCTCATGATCTACCCGCCTCAGCCTCCCAAAGTGCTGGGATGACAGGCGTGAGCCACCGTGCCCAGCCTCCTCTTCCTTTTTACTAGGGTTTTCTTATATTTTATGTAAGGGGAATCATTATATTTGCTTTGATCAGACTATCCTTTATAAAAATAAAAACGAGAAAGAAAAAGTTTTATACCTTTTCTAATATTTTTTTCTGATGTTCTTCATTTTTTACAAATCAGATGTAAGGTTTCCGCGTGGTATTATTTCCCTTCAGCCTCAGCCCTTCCTTTAATATGCCTTGTGGTGCGGATGTGCTGCTCAGGAATCATCTCAGCTTTTGTTTGTCTGAAACTTTGTCTCCGTATTTTCGAGAAGCATCTTCACTAGATGAGAAATTCTAGGTTGACAATGTTTCCTTTCATAGGTGAAAGGTATTTGGTCGTGTGACTACACTCCAGCCTGGGCAGTAGACCAAGACTCTGTCTTAAAAAAAACATTACCGGCCGGGCGCGGTGGCTCACACCTGTAATCCCAG